CTGGCCTGCATGCAACTTTTTGAAAAGTTAAGATACAAACTAAGTGTACTAGTATTTCCTAAAGTTATTATATCTTATTTTTTTCTTTCAATAAGAGGGTAATGATGACCCTGGATCACTCACCTAAGATCATTGTTGGAAAACAGGTAACAAGATCATTTTGAGTGTGTCAATTATGTCATAACACATGATTTGTGTCATAATTGAATCCGGTTGTTTTTAAAGAAACATGCTCAATATCTGCTTTCAATTTTTTATTTCACACGAGAGAACTTTAATAACCATATCTATATACGAGTCCATATAAACTTAGTGACCTTTTGTGTTTGGTAAATTTGGACCATGTTGTCCATGATATATCATTATTATAACATAATTATGGTGATACATGATTAATGTATATGCGTCGGATAGTGTAGGTTAAGAGAAAACAGATTTATTACAGTAGTCTTTGTAAATTAAGTGATACCATTGCAAAACCATTTTAGACTGCAGTAGCATCATACAAATTTATGCATGTCATATCAGTCTACATCCCAAATATCTTATTTCAAGTCAAATGAAAGTTTTAACAATAGATGTTTTTAATGTGTTTTCCTATACAAGTCTGTGAACCCAGGTGGCTCTATGAGCATGATTCATTAAATGTGTTAATAAAGACCCAAGGTGGTGCTACATGCCAGTTTAGTACCTGTGCTCTATGCATTTCGATTTTTGAGAAGATTTTTTTTATTGCATGTCCACTTAATGATAACAAAAGTGTTTTATGTAACTTTAAAGAGGTCTTCTTTACTTGGCAAGGTTCTATTTTGACTATAGCTATATTATGACTAAAGCTCTAGCATTACAGTTTTTTGTTTGTTGATTTTTTTTTAAATAACATCAACAACAAAACAACTTCAATGCGATTCCCTACACAAGTCTTTAAAAACTGTGTTCCTCGTGATGGCCTTTAAAATCATGTTCCTGCAGTCCAAAATGGCTTTCCCTGTCACTTAGTTTACATTGACTTATATAATAAAATTCTTCTCCGAAACTATGTGCACAGAGAAGAGATAATATTGTATATCATAACATTTGTGATGCTTACATAAAGATTATAAACTATTGGCATAGGGTCAAGATCACTTAAGTTTACATGGACTTTTATTGGAATATAGTTATATGAGTCTTCTTGTAGTTCCGAGAGCCTAGTTATTGGACATGATTCTTTAAATCATGACTGGTGAAAAAAAAGATACTCCTTATATGATATTAGCATTCTTCAGTATAAAAAAGAATTATAGACCTTTTCCAGCAGTGGGTCTTAGGCGCGTGATCTAGGGTCAACAATGCTCTCTTGTTTTATGGGAAAAAAAAAGTAGGAATACATTTTAGTTTTATATTCCAAAGTACATGTATAAAGCTATGTTTGTTATGTGGGTCAAGCGGTTTTATTGATACCTATTTTAGCACACCTAGTCATTAGATAATATGATGTATCAGTCGCCTAAATTTTTGTTTCTTTTGAAAAATATCATGTCTACATAAGTTATTAGAAATGGACGGTACTTTATTCAATTATACTTGGTTACAATGATGTGCAAGTAAATATAACTTTGAAATCAATTCTGTTACAAGCTTTTTAGGCCAAGACTAAATTGTGCAGGAAGTAATTGTATTCATAAATAGACAACATTTCACTAAGGGTTCAGCATGATTTATCTAACATATGGTTCGTTGAAATGAATATTCAGTCTTCTTTCTGTACAATTATCAAGTTATATTATGACTATTGAAATAACTTATATCATGCAAACACATTTAATAACTGAATGTATACATATGATTGTATCTGCATTTATTGATATTTTAGTACACCCTCTAGACCTAAAGGAAAACTAAAATACCTTAATACAATAAGATACTTTTACAGTGAATATTTGCATAAGAATTCTTAAAAAAACGTTATTTTGTACTACAATTGTCTGATAAATTTACCCCACCCACTTTTAATAAGTATAAAACCTTCACATTTTTGTTTGTTTTTGATACAATTATACAATAAAACATAGTGTTGATTGAATACCAAAATACACTTTAAGAAAACTATGTAACTTTTGGAATTTTGTACAAAGACCTAGAAAACCATGTTAGAGAAAAATGAAAAAAAATGGCACTTTTTCTTTGATTTTTTTTTAAAGATTTTTTTGTCAAAAAACTAAAAAACATGACTAACAATGTGGTTCACCTAAAATTTGATTTTTTTTCTAATATATTTCACAATTTATATATGGAAATACGCATACCGTGTGCAAAAATTATACTACAAAAATGATATATCAGTTTTCATTAAAATTGGCAGCCATATTGGACGCCATCTTGGATTCTGAAGAAATATGCAAGAGAAATTGCTTAAAGATTTTAATTTTTGAAAAGGGGAAACTATATGCAAGTTTCAGGTCTTGTACAAAAAATTGGAATGAATGATCTATTATAGTACATCAAATTTATATGGCGGCCATTTTGAAAATGGCGGCCATCTTGAATGAGCAGAGATATTTTTGGGCCCACTTCACTTTTGAAATCTACATGGTCTAAAGATAATTTCCTGAAAGTTTCATGCTTGTATCACAATTTGCACTATTTTGACAGCAGAGACCTTATTTCCCGCCCCACTATGCTAAATATCTTAGCTCTAGCTTTTTGGGTTCTTTAAAAGAAGATTTTTGTATTTTCTGATCGCAAGATCAGTAAATACAAAGCTAACCACGGTCAGACCTAACAACGCAAAGTAGTTCTCACTCAAAACTGCTTAAAAACCAGCGGTTTAAAAGAAAGAATAATTTTTAATGTAGGCATTTAACGAATGCAAAGTTTAGTGTGCATAACGAGTGCATTAAAAGTTTAAATTAGTCAATAGAAATATGAGGTTACAATCACAAATTTTGCGGATGAATATCTTTTTTTACCCTATGAAAAATGTTTGGCTATTTCCGTAAAGCTAAATCAATGAAAATGCTATTTTAAGCTATGTCGATTACCGAATACTCCAGAGCGAAGTACACAAATAAATCTGAATGTAGAGTAGTGGAATATATACATGCCGGACTGTTTCGGCGAGAAGATTTTCGCTAAATTATTTTCATCAGTGTTAAACAACATGTTTATCGTGATAAAAAAATACCTCGAAATTAATAAGGATTACAAACACAAAATGGAAATTCTTAATTTAGAATACAATTTATTTGTTTTTATTCAAGCTACATATGTATTACTTCACCATGGTGCAGAGGTAGCGCGCTCGTTTAAGGTGTGACAGGCATAATGTTCAAATCCTAGTCGAGTTTTGAAGTGTTTTTTTTTTAAGGAAGTAACCACGATATGCAAGGATAAAGTGTGGCTGTCATGAAAAATGAAAATGATTTTTGAATGCCAACTGTATATTCATGCAAATTCCATGTGCATCAAAATCTCCAAAAACTGCTGTTTTATTAGAAAAAAATCTAAAAGCAGTCGCTGCGTAAGATGAATTATAGTATATAAAAATAAACTTATACAGGAAAATACATGCAGATAGTCAGTATGATTAAGATTGCAAAGATCAGAAAATACCACAAAGCTTGCAGCCCTTTGATTTAAAGTTTTTATTATATGCATATAGGGAAAATCAATGACCCCCTGGGGCGGGGCCAATTTTGACCCCAGGGCTTTTATTTGAACAAACTTGGTAGACACTCACTAGAAGATGTTTCACGCCAAATATGTAAGCTCTAGCTCTTAGGGTTTTTTTATAGAAGATATTAAAAGTTTTTTCTTTCGGTTGCCATGGCAGATAGAGTTCTGAAAGGGAACAATTTTTTAAGGTGACCACCAAAGGAATGTTCCTGTGAAGTTTGGATGAAATTGGCTTAGTGGTTTATGAGGAGATGTTATTTCAAGTAAAAGTTTACGGACGGACGGACGCCGGACGAAAAGCGTTCACAAAAGCTCACCCTGTCACTTTGTGACAGGTGACCTAAAAAGGTATAGTGAAAAATATTTTACTGCACCAAAACTTTAATCTAAAATCTGGACACGGACGCTTGGTCAGCTCTCCATATACTTTGTATAGTCAAGCTAAAAATGGCTTATATATTAACACGTTAATTTTTTCAATGTCAATTACATGTTATACCTTTAACACATCTTATATCCTTTGGAATGCAGAAAGAAATACCATTCCGACTTCACTTTCCAAGCACAGGACCTTTTCTCCAGCAGGACCACTTATACTGACAGTGGTGTAAACCTTATATTCCATGAATTTATCTTTGTTTTGGGCAGGTGGTCTGTTGATTGCTTCTGGGTTTTGACACCAATTTTGATTCTAACAGTGGAAATTTTAGATAAACCCCTCCATCTTTGTCATCCAATTTTCCCCTTATCCAACACAGGGCCACCTGCTGTAAGGTTAACCATCCCAAAAACCCAATAGGACTATCATTTAAATTTCTGCCCAAAAAAATTACAAACCAAATACCAAATTCATATGATTTTTCATGATGTTAGTGTATAATATACAATCAAAGCAATTACTTTATTATACAATAAAAAAACGGACAAAGTCAAAGTTTAAAAAAACTTGCTTTTTGACTTGAAAATATTGTGACTTTTAGCCAAAACCGGGCTGACTTTTTCTTTTTTTAAAAACCCCCCCATAAACCAAATTAAGTTGAAAATTAAATACAAAGATTCACCTTTATTTAAATTTTTCCCCATAATGTTGAAAAATAACCCAGAAAGGGAGGTTGGGGGGTTTTTAAAAAATTACTTTCTGCATTTAAAACCCATACTAGGGCAGCTATAATCAAAAAAAAAGCAACAGTAAACCCTTTGGGCCAAAAAAGGATGGGTTATATGGGCCCTTTAAAGCTGTTCCCCAAAAAAAGGAAAATGATTCACCCCCTACCTTAATAAATAAAAAAGATTAGTAGCAAACCCAAAATTACATGCTGGGGCGGGTATAAACCCTTTGAAATTTATTTGGCTGTTTTGTTCATTATTTCAGCGCTAACTTTCTCATCTGACAGGTCTTCATGGTCATTCTGGAAAAGAAAACAAATTTCTTGTACGACCATGTTGTGAACAAGCATATTTATACAACATTATTCTATAAATCAGGGCTTAATTAAATAACAGATTACATTTATGCCCCAATCAAATTCCCTCTACAGAAAAAGTGAGGACATTTGGGTAAGATTTATCCAATAGTTACCTATTTTTTTTTCCAGTTGGGATTCAATTCATACTGACACGAAAAGGTCATATACATAGTGAATTTCAATATTTACTGGTAGAAGACGACCTCTGGTACACCTCCATCCATTATTCCAGGCATGAGCAAGCATTTGAGTATTACCACCAATGTTTCTAAAGCTACCGGTAGCTGGATAGCTTCAGAAATTAAAACCCAAGTGAAGAGCCCTTGATTTACAGACCTCCAAACAGTAAAATCCTTGGTAAATGTTTATGTATTGCAAGTTAGATATATTGCAAGCAATCTTGGCATCAAAATAAAACTATCAAACTGACCTTGCGGAGATAGACAGGGAGTTTTTGGTTGGGTTTTAAGTCACATGGACACATGGATACCCCATATTTCTAGAAACTAGAACTCTGCATGTCGGATGTGTTGCCTTGTGAACAATATAGTTTAGGAGAAATGGCCAGGACAAAAATGAAATTTGAAAATCAACAAAGGGCAATAACTCAAAAAATAACAAATGCAGAGCAGCAGTTTCTGAGCACTGCACTTCTTATAAATAACATCTATCATCCTATTAAGTTTCAAGTCTAAAGCTTTTATAATTCATGAGAAATGGCCTGGACAAAAATAAAGTATGAAAATTAAAAAAGGGCAATAACTAAAAAAATAAGAAATGCAGAGTACCAGTTCTAGGTTACTGCACTTCTTCTTAATGAGATCTATCATCCTATAAAGTTTCATGTCCATAGCTTTTATACTTTAGGAGAAATGGCCTGGACAAAAATAAAGTATGAAAATTAACAAAGGGCAATAACTCAAAAAATAACAAATGCAGAGTACCAGTTCTTGTGCATTGCACTTCTTTTAAATGAGATCTATCATCCTATGAAGTTTCATGTCCATAGCTTTTATACTTTAGGAGAAATGGCCTGGACAAAAATAAAGTATGAAAATTAACAAAGGGAAATAACTTGCAAAAAATAATAAAAATGCAGAGTACCAGTTCTTGTGCACTGCACTCTTCTTAATGAGATCTATCATCCTATGAAGTTTCAAAGCCATAGATTCCCTATACTTTAGGAGAAATTGGCCCGGAACAAAAAATAAAGTATGAAAATTAAAACAAAAGGGCAATAACTCAAACAAGAACCGGTTGAACCGGGTGATGCTCCCCGAGAAAGTTCTGGACACAGGAAAGTATAAAAACAAGAGGGCCATGATGGCCCTGAGGTCGCTCACCTGTATAAAGCCCCCCCCCATCCCCACCCCGGGGCCAATTTGTACCCAAGGGCTTTTTATTTGTTTATTTGAACAGACTTGGTAGACACCCATAAGAAGATGTTTCATGGCTAAACATCTAAGTTCTAGCTCATTGGTTTTTTTAAAAGAAATTTTTTTTTAAGTTTTTACTATACAACATATAGTTAAAAAACAATGACACCCCTGGGGCAGGGCCAGTTTTGACCCCCGGGCTTTTATTTGAACAAACTTTATAGATATTTACTTAAAGATGTTTCATGCTTAATATCTAAACTCTAGCTATTTGGGTTTTTTTTTTTTTCAAAGAAGATTTTTAAGTTTTGCTATACACATATAAGGAAAATCAATGACCTCCCCCCCCCCCCCCCCCCCAGGCTGGGCCAGTTTTGACCCCAGGCCTTTTTATTTGAACATACTTGGTAGACACCCATTAGAACATGTTTCATGCTAAAAATATCTTAGCTCTAGCTCTTTGAGTTCTTTTAAAAGAAAGATTTTTTAAGTTTTACTATATTGCATATAGGGAAAATCAATGACCCCCTGGGCCGGGGCCAATTTTGACCCCAGGGCTTTTATTTGAACAAACTTGGTAGACACTCATTAGAAGATGTTTCATGCTAAATATCTTAGCTCTAGCTCTTTGGGTTCTTTAAAAGAAGATTTTTTAAGTTTTTAATATATGCATATAGGAAAAATCTATGACCCCCTCGGGCGGGGTCACTTTTTGACGCCAGAGCTTTTATTTGAACAAACTTGGTAGACATTCACTAGAAGATGTTTCATGCTAAATATCTAAGCTCTAGCTCTAATGGTTCTTTAAAAGAAGATTTTTTAAGTTTTTACTATATGCATATAGGGAAAATCAATGACACCCCCGGGGCGGGGCCAATTTTGACCCCAGGGCTTTAATTTGAACAAACTTGATAGACACTCACTAGAAGATGTAGCTTAATATCTAAGCTCTAGCTCTTATGGTTCTTTGAAAGAAGATTTTTAAGTTTTTACTATATGCATATAGGGAAAATCTATGACCCCCCTGGGGGGGGTCAATTTTGACCCAGGGCTTTTATTTGAACAAACTTGGTAGACATTCACTAGAAGACGTTTCATGCCAAATATCTAAGCTCTAGCTCTTTATGGTTCTTTAAAAGAAGCTTTTTTAAGTTTTTACTATATGCATATAGGGAAAATCAATGACCCCCCGGGGCGGGGCCAATTTTGACCCCAGGGCTTTTATTTGAACAAACTTGGTAGACAATCACTGGAAGATGTTTTATGCTTGATATCTTAGCTCTAGCTCTTTGGGTTCTTTAAAAGAAGATTTTTTAAGTTTTTTACTATATGCATGAGGGAAAATAATGACCCCCTGGGGCGGGGCCAATTTTGACCCCAGGGCTTTATTGAAAACAAACTTGGTAGACATTCACTAGAAGATGTTTCATGCCAAATATCTAAGCTCTAGCTCTTACGGTTCTTTAAAAGAAGATTTTTTAAGTTTTTACTATATGCATATAGGGAAAATCAATGACCCCCTGGGGCGGGGCCAATTTTGACCCCAGGGCTTTTAATTGAACAAACTTGGTAGACACTCACTAGAAGATGTTTCATGCCAAATATCTAAGCTCTAGCTCTAAGGGTTGTTTAAAAGAAGATATTTAAAGATTTTTCTTTCGGTTGCCATGGCAACCAGAGTTCTGCATGAAATTAAATTCTTTGAACAATTTTTAAAGGTGACCACCAAAGGAACATTCCTGTGAAGTTTGGATGAAATTGGCTCAGTGGTTTATGAGGAGATGTCATTTAAAGCAAAAGTTTACGAACGGACGGACGACGGACGGACGCCGGACGAAAAGCGATCACAAAAGCTCACCCTGTCACTTTGTGACAGGTGAGCTAAAAATGAACAAAGGTCAAAAACTCCAAAATTAGGCAAAGCGGAGTTATGTTTTTTTGCACTGCACTTCTATTCAATGAGATCTATCTATCTATAAAGTTTCCTGATGATATCAGAGTTATGTCCCGGGTAAAAGTCAAAGTGTAAAAATGAACAAAGGGCAATAACTCCAAAATTAGACCAGGCTTTGTTTAGGTTCTTTAAGCATTGCAGTTCTATCCAATTATATCTAGCTACCTACAAAGTTTCATGTTGATATCTCTAATAGTTTTAAAGTAATGTCAAGGACAAAAGTCAAAAAGTAAAAATAAACAAAGGGCAATTACTTCAAAATAAGGCAAGGCAGAGTAATGATTCTTAAGCACTGCACTTCCACCCAATAAGACCTATCTATCTACAAAGATTCATGTTGATATTGTAGTGCCCCGGTATTTAATGGTAACTAATACTTACCTGGTAATTTTCATCTATTCTGTGACCTTTTGTTATTTTTTTCTTTTTGTAACAGTAAATAAATTTGCAGCTTTCACTGGCTTCCCGTATAAATCAAAACAGTTGGACTGTTTAAATATTCAGCTCAACTTGCCTTATCTATGCGTTTTGCCAGGATTTCTTAGTTTTTACATCGCACTGTCTCCGTTCAAAATGTAAACAGTTTGTATTTTCACTTTTGCTGCTCCGTTTATCCTAGTCCGTAATGTATTTGTAAAAAATCCAGTTTAAATCGTTAATAACACATGTTTTCTTTTATTGTGTAAAGTAACTTGTTTAAAATCCATGTTAAACCTGCCAAATTTATTAATTTAATTTGTAATTACTGGCACATTGTTGTTGTAATGAAGGCGGCCATTTTGTTATGACAACTTCCGGTTGTATTGCTACGGACGCCGGTGCACTAAGGATATTTTTTCCGTATTGTTTACATTGTCTTAATTTAAAAATAAATAGCCATGGCCAGCTTGTTAAACTGTAAAAAACGTCCTTATCATGTAATTATATTTTGTATTACATTTCTATCTTTATTTTTAGTGTCTACTCGGTACAGTTATCAAAATTTTAAGTTTGCATCACTGCTGCAGTAGATGCGCGCTTTTGCTTACGTCATTAATGCTGCATTAATGCGTTCTTGTGTTATGCTACAAGAATGATGCATTTATGCATCATTTTGTTGCATGCTACATCGGTAGCACTCAGTTTTGTATAAATACCAAACGTCTTGCTGCGTTCTGGAACTTCAAATATTTTTTTCGGCCTGGGCACCCGTTACTCTAGTAGCTATATTTTAAAAACAATTTAAAGCATTAATTTTTCTTAAAGGTTAGTGTAACTTAACAAAATAGCAAATAAACACTAAACAAAAATTATTAATTGTCATTTTTCTTGGTTTAATAAAAAAATTTATATCTTCAAAAAAGTATTTTTGTAAAAAAAATCTTATAATGTTTTTGGTAGGTTTCTCATTAATAAGTAATAATAGTTTTTTTCTAAATATCTTTAAGTAAACTTGTGCATTTTAAATCATTTATTACATTGTCATATAAGTTTAAGGCTTGTAAGTTCTAAATACAGTAAACAGTAAATTATAAGTTATACATATACTTGCACAAGGGTTTAGCATTCAGTAAATATAGTGGTTAGCCATAGGTTGGTAAATAATTTATTTAATAAGTGTTACTCAAGTTGTTAAAACATAAAACTTTGTTATTAATTTATAAGCATATTCTGGTTGCTTTAAATTTAACAAAAAATTAAATTAATTATACTTTATCAAGTGCTTGTCTTTTGTCATTGTGTACGAAAATAAATTTTAAGTATTATTTACCCATACTGGTTAAACCCCCCCCCCCTTTTATTAAGTACTAAAGTCCATAGCCCATTGGTTTGCCCTTCACCCTGAAGCCTAAGTCCTGTATCCTAACAATATTGCAAGGGACTCAAAGCATTGGGATAACCAGCCTGGTAAACTAAGCAGTATAAGTGAAGCTAATACCAAGGTCAAGCACTCACACACTCAGTCATCAGGACACTATATTGTCTATAGCATATTGTATTTTGCAATACCAAGGCCATCCAGACGCAAGGACCGCTAGCACGTAGTATATTTTTAATAAGTAAAGCTGGTATCAAAATCAAGCACTCACACACTCATTCATTCGGACATTACATTGTCTATAGTATATTGTGCTATACAATACCAAGGCCATCCGGACGCCAAAACCGCTAGCGCGTAACAATATCTCTTATAATTTTAGAGTAATGTCCCAGACAAAGTTCAAAGTGTCAAAATGAACAAAGGGCAATAACTCCAAAAGTAGGCAAGACAGTGTTACAGTTCTTGTGCACTGCAAACTTACTCAATGAGATCTATCTACCTACAAAGTTTCATGTTGATATCTCTTATACATTAAGAGTTATGTCCAGGACAAAGTTCAAAGTGTAAAAATAAACAAAGGGGGATATTTCAAAAATTAGGCAAGGCAGAGTTAAGGTTCTTGTTCACTGCACACCTACTCAATGAGACTAAAATTTCAAAAACGAGCAGCTCGCATTATCCTAGATAAAGCTGCAGATGCACCATCTGAACCTCTTTTCAAAGAATTAAGATGGATGAAATTTAATGACAGGGTTGAGTACAAAAAGGCAATCCTGATATACAAATCATTACATGAAGAAAACTCACCATGCTACATGAAAAAAAAATTTCATTTTATCTCAACTTTACATAACAGAAATCTTAGATCAACAAAACAATCTTAATCTACATGTCCCTAAACCTAATCTTGAGTTTTACCGTAAATCACTTTCTTATTCTGGAACTAAAATCTGGAATAATATATACCACTTTATGTACGTCAGTCTGAAAGTACTGAAAAATTCAAAAAAAGCTTACATAAAGTGGAAGTACTCTGGTTAAACCAATACCATAGTATTATGTTTATAATTATGTTTACTGCAGTTTTCATTGTTAATGGTTAATATTTATGTTTAGTTTGTCATTGCATTTATAACTAGTTAATACCATGCTTTATAATATTACATGTCTTTTGTATAATTATTTGATGTAAATATGTTGTAAATATGTTGAGGTACATATGGAAGATCGTTTTGGCGAATATGTAGCCTCGTTAAATAAAGCCTTTATTATTATTATTATTATTATTATTATAGATCTATCTACCTACAAAGTTTCATGTTGATACCTCTTATACTTTTAGAGTTATGTCCCGGACAAAGTTCAAAGTGTAAAATAAACAAATGGGGATAATTCAAAAATTAGACATGGCAGAGTTACGGTTCTTGTGCACTGCACACCTACTCAATGAGATCTATCTACCTACAAAGTTTCATGTTGATACCTCTTATACTTTTAGAGTTATGTCCCGGACAAAGTTCAAAGTGTAAAATAAACAAAGGGGAATAATTCAAAAATCAGGCAAGGCAGAGTTACGGTTCTTATGCACTGCACACCTACTCAATGAGATCTATCTACCTACAAAGTTTCATGTTGATACCTATTATACTTTTAGAGTTATGTCCAGGACAAAGTTCAAAGTGTAAAATAAACAAAGGGGGATAATTCAAAAATTAGGCAAACAGAGTTACGGTTCTTGTGCACTGCACACCTACTCAATGAGATCTATCTACCTACAAAGTTTCATGTTGATACCTCTTATACTTTTAGAGTAATGTCCCGGACAAAGTTCAAAGTGTAAAATAAACAAAGGGGGATTATTCACAAATTAGGCAAGGCAGAAGAACGGTTCTTGTGCATTGCACACCTACTCAATGAGATTTATCTACCTACAAAGTTTCATGTTGATACCTCTTATACTTTTAGAGTTATGTCCCGGACAAATTTCAAAGTGTAAAATAAACAAAGGGGGGTAATTAAAAAACTAGACCTATCACTGAAGGTGATTAATACCCCCACCAGCAACTTTGACTTTTTGAAAAAAAAGTAGTCTGAAGAAAAATTTGAACATAAACTATCAACTGTGTACAAAGAAATATTTCAATTAATTGTTATCACAACTGGGGTCTCGAAATAAGCTTGCTATACACCAAGTTTGATTACAATATCTCATTCCTAACTCTAGTTATTGTCCGGAAACAATTTTTTCAATTTTTAGTAACACTTTAACGGTGACCTTGACCCTAGGGGTCCAAATGCAATACCAACCCAGGTCTTCATATAAGCTTCCTTTACACCAAATTAGATTACAATATCTCATTCCTAACTCTAGTTATAGTCAGAAAACCATTTTTCTATTTTTCCTTACAGTGAGCTTGACCTTGACCCCAGGGGGCCCAAATGCAATACCAAGGGCCCAAATGCAATACCAACCCAGGTCTTCATAAAAGCTTGCTATACGCCAAGTTTGATAACAATATCTCATTCCTAAGTCAAATTATTGTCCGGAAACCATTTTTCTATTTTTAGCAACGGTGACCTTGAACTTGACCCCAGGGGGCCCAAAATCAATACCAACCCAGGTCTTCATATATGCTTGCTATACACCAAGTTTGATAACAGTATCTCATTCTTAAGTCAAGTTATTGTCCGGAAACCATTTTTCTATTTTTAGTAACGGTGACATTGACCTTGATCCCAGGTGGCCCAAATGCAATACCAACCCAGGTCTTTATATAAGCTTGCTATAGGCCAAGTTTGATAACAATATCTCATTCCTAACTCTAGTTATTGTCCGGAAACCATTTTTCTTTTTTTAGTAACGGTGACCTTGACCCCAGGGGGTCCAAATGCAATACCAACCGGAGTTTCCACATAAGGTTGCTATATACCAAGTTTGATTACAATACCTCATTCCAAACTCTAGTTATCTTCCGGAAACCATGATGTGGACCGACCTACGGACCAACTAACCGACCGACCGACAAGCTGACTCCTATATACCCCCCCTAAACTTCGTTTGTGGGGGTATAATTAGGCAAGGCAGAGTTACGGTGCTTGTGCACTGCACACCTACTCAATGAGATCTATCTACCTACAAAGTTTCATGTTGATACCTCTTATACTTTTAGAGTTATGTCCAGGACAAAGTTCAAAGTGTAAAATAAACAAAGGGGGATAATTAAAAAATTAGACAAGGCAGAGTTACGGTTCTTGTGCACTGCACACCTACTCAATGAGATCTATCTACCTACAAAGTTTCATGTTGATACCTCTTATACTTTTAGAGTTATGTCCCGGACAAAGTTCAAAGTGTAAAAATAAACAAAGGGGAATAATTCAAAAGTTAGGCAAGGCAGAGTTACGGTTCTTGTGCACTGCACACCTACTCAATGAGATCTATCTACCTACAAAGTTTCATGTTGATACCTCTTGTTGTTTCAAAGTTATGTCCCGGACAAGAAAAGCGGACGGACGGACGGCAGGACGGACGGATGTCCGGCCGAGCCAACATTTGATTATTATGAGCTTCATTCCGTAGTTAAATAAAGAACATAAACTCATAAAATTTAAAATTAAGAGTTTTTTTTTGTTTTTATGAGCTTATTTTGCTTATGGACGTTGGTCCAGGTGGTGTTTATGAGCTCATTTGCCTCATAAACATCAAATTTTGGTACGTCCGAAATGGAATAAGGGGCCATTTCTTTTGTTATTTTCTATTGTTTAATAGAGGGCCAATGGCCCCTTACTCTATTGTTACGGAATGAACTCTATTGTTCTCTTTTGTTCTGTTTACAGTTAGATGGCCCCCTATCCCTATTCGGTAGTGCGGAAAGACGGACGGACGGACAAGGCGGCGACTATATGCTCCCCCGAAATTTTTTCCGGGAGCATAAAAATAAGAAGTGCAGAGTACCAGTTCTTGTGCACTGCACTTCAGGTCATTATAAGAAACATGCATACCAAGTTTGAAGTCAATCCGACTTATAATGACTGACTTATGCTCCGGACAAGCTTAAGGAGACGCCGACAACGACACCGACGCCGACAACGACTCGCCGACAAAAGTAACCCCTATATGTCGCCTTTTTCAAGGCGCACCAAAAAATACAGTGAAAATTTTCAATGGAATTATAATACTTCATGAAAGTCTCACCTCAGTAGTAAACTTCATTTGAAATGTTGACAAAGTTTCTGGGCTGTATAGTTTCCTCATTTCACTCCCAGGAATACCTAAAGTAATAAAAATTAAAACACATTCTTCAAGCTGAGCATCATGTCTCAAACAGCTTATTTCTAGATAAAGATCTCTAAGAAGAAATCAGCCAGGGGTCAACCCACTGTAAGCAGTTGGTAAATGGTTTAGGTGTCCGTCTTTCAACCAGGGGATTGCGGGTTTGAACTTTATTGGAGTCACAATCATGTTTCAACATATGACAACAATACTGTTTAGTTCAAGGAAGGGCAAATGAAAGTGGTTCATTATAAGTTTATTTGTCATCACAATAAAGCTAACATTAATATATGGTTAACTATAATATTATAATATACCGGGCTATTATTCTATAAAAGAATTTTTTTTATTCTGTTTTTTTTTCTAGCTTCTTACCTAATGCACTTGAACCTATCAATGCCTGGAATGAATTACAGCCAGAAACTTCACTACCAGAAACTTCACAACCAGAAACTTCACTACCAGAAACAACCATGTTGAGCAGGTTCACATGAAAAGTTCTATCTATAAACTTGATAGGACTGAAAAATAAAATGATATACCATGCCAATAAGATAAAGGTCGACTTTGTAACAAGCTGTTTTCACACCTATATCATGGGTATTTTTCACTCTTTTTGCAATAACAATAGCGAAGACCTAATAAATCTTGGATGTGAAATCAAGCTAACACTGTTACTTGTTATGCAATATCCACATTGAGACCAATTTTTCTGCTTATGATTTAAATTAGCAAAATTACCCAGAAACTAAAACCTGTTGTTAATGCATTATGTAAGAATGGTGTCGAAAATTCTTCAAAAAAGAAAAATATACTATATTACTGTAATATAAAATGACAAGTTAAAACAATGTAAGACATACTTGAGTCAATCAACATGAAAGAATAAATGATAATTTTAATGCAATTCCCTTACACATCACTTATTGACAAAAGCATAACTCAAAAAGAAATACACTACCTTAATGTAAATAAACTGAGATCATTTTTTCTTGCTGAAAGACTTGGGGTGTTAACAGGTGTGGCAGTTTCCTCTTTATTCAAAAACATCCTGCAGCAAAAAACAGAACAGAAACATAGATTTAAAGACAGATATCAAAAATCAGGAAAGTAACTCTATCTCGCAACACATTGCAAGTTTGTATAATTTTCTTTTAGCAATAAAATTACTTCTTTCATCTACAATACCTCACTTTAAATTTGCATTGTCAAAATTTTGCATTTTTTAACCAAAAAGTGTGCTTTTCATTATTTGTGTATTCATAAATTCTTGTCATTATCATTACCAAAAACAAAAGAGTTGCTGAATAAGATACAGATGTTTTAGAGTGTCATAGCAATAATTATGTCATTTGGCTGCCATTTAAAGGGTGGTTCCCCATATACTATATGCTTTAGACAAGATAAAAAATTCCTTAAATCTCTCGCAACTAAAACAAGAGTGTCATGATGGTCCTCATATCGCTCATCTGATGATTAAGGTTCTTAATGACAAAGAGCAATCAATGTTGTTAACTAGGAATAAAAAGCTGACATCGTGTCTAAAACTAAAATTGATACCATTAAGTTCATATATGCATCTGAAATAGTGCAAAAATTTTGATGTAAACAAGAATTTTTCCATATTTGAGCTCTGTCACTTAGTTTTGACCACAGATGACCCCTATTCAAATTTAACAAAGAAATCATTTAAACAACCTTTCTAATTTCCAGGATATTTGGTCTGAAAATATTACCTCTAGAGTGTTACCTAGGATTTTCCATAACAAGGGGTGTAGGCTGAAAATGTTACAGGTAGAGTTCTAACAATGTTTTTCCATATTTAGGCTATCACCCAGTTTTTAAACCGATGTCTATGGACAATCATCCTATTAAGTTTGAATATTGTGGGCCAAATACACCTTTAGTTATAACCGTAAATTGTTTTCAGTTTCAGACCTTGACCTTTGACCTTGTGACCCCACACTCAATCTTGTGCTACAAATCATCAAAATAAAATTAAATTCAACATCTAATGTGTTAAAACAAAGTTTTCCATATTTTGGCTGTATGACCTAGTTTTTTAACCCAGACAACCATGTTCAAATCACCACATCAACGCTTCTTACATGTTCCCAAGATATTTGTGCTGAAAATGTTAAAATCATATCCTAATGAGATTGGATTGTAAACAAGGTTTGTTTTTAAGCTTTGTGACTTTAAATTTTGACGAAAGATGATACATATTCGCACTGAGCTATACATCACCAAAACAACCCTTCCGACAAATTTTCAGGATATTTTGGCTAATATGTAACCTCTAGAGTGTAAAAAAGATTTTACCATATTTGGGCTGTGTGACCTAGTTTTGACACCAGGTAACTCACATTTGTACTTAACAACCTTTCTGACAAATTTTCAGGATATTTAGACTGAAACAATAGCCACTAATGACAACAAGAATTTCCCTTTTTTTGGCTCCTATGACCTAGTTTTTCATCCCATGTTTGAACTTGTGCCACTAAATACTAAGACAAACATCCTGACTAAGTTTTTTGACAAGTGAAACAAAAATGTTACCACTAGAATGATAACAAACTTTATGTGGACAGACAACAAACATCCAACGATCTAAAAAACCTCACCCTGGGCCAGCTCAGGTGGACTAGAAAAAAAACAACAAGAGCACCGCTCGGCGGAGCATTATTTGGCCTGATAGTGTTTTTTTTTTTTAAGTAAGGATGAAGCATTTGTAAGACATTAAATAAATTTAATAAGGTTTACCTCCTTCAAAAAGAAATCCTATAAAATTTGAATTTTGTGGGCCAAATAGACTTAAGTTATGCTCTGGAAACTGTTTTCAGTTTTGAGGTAATAGTGACCTTGAACTTTGATCTTGTGACCCCAAAATCAGTAGGGGTGTTCTGACCAATATGGACAATCATCCTATTAAGTTTGAATATTGTGGGCCAAATACACCTTTAGTTATAACCGTAAACTGTTTTCAGTTTTAAAGTAATAGTGACCTTGACCTTTGACCTTGTGACCCCAAAATCAATTCTAGTCTTCTACCCAATATGGACAATCATCCTATGAAGTTTGAATATTGTGGGTCAAACAGAACTTAAGTTATGCTCTGGAAACTGTTTTCAGTTTTAAAGTTATAGTGACCTTAACCTTTGATCTTGTTACCCCAAATTCATTAGAAATCTTCTACCCAATATGGACAATCATCCTATGAAGTTTGAACACTGTGGGCCAAATGGAACTTAAGTTATGTTCCGGAAACTGTTTTCAGTTTTAAGGTAATAGTGACCTTGACCTTGTGACCCCAAAATCAATAGGGATCTTCAAACCAATATGGACAATCATCCTATGAAGTTTGAACACTGTGGGCCAAACAGAACTTCAGTTATGCTCCGGAAACTTTTTCAGTTTTAAGGTGATAGTGACCTTGACCTTTGACCTTGTGACCCCAAAATCAATAGGAGTCTTCTACCCAATATGGACAATCATCCTATGACGTTTGAATATTGTGGGCTAAATGCTAATGGACGGACGGATAGACGGACGTACTCACAAAATGGTACTTATGTGACTTTTCCTTTGATCTTTTAGGATATTTTTAGTCACACAAGGCTTAAAAAAAGACGCACAAGTAAAAACGGAATGAATAGGATCAAAGAGAATTTACTGTTACCCATTGTTCTCTAAGTCACATAAGTACCTCTGGGTTCATTACGGATAGACAGATACACAGACAGACGGTGGGACGCCAGGGGGCATTACATTAATAAACATGAAAAAAACCTAATGAAAATCCACGTTTCATACATGTAGTATTTTTATCATGTATATATGTGATAAATTTCAATATTCAATGGAGAGTAAAAAAGGTTTTTCATTTTTAATATACATGTATATTTAAAGTTTCAGTCATGTAAGCATAAATCATGTATATTTAACCATATTATAAATTACCGTATAGTTTTATCGATGTCCCTTGAATCCCTAAAAATAATTATCATCATTTGTGAGATCATCCATAGTGAGATCATCTTGAAGTCCACCATCCCCATACTGGACAATTTGGCTATATCACTATCATCGAAATATGTACCACTCTGAAGAACGAAAAAAAAATCTCAATACTGGATAAAAACAAATGAACTTGCTTCATTTTACTACTGCCTATGGCCCATTTGCAGAATTACAATCAGTTTAGTTAAAACCTCTTGACCCACACTTTTGTGATTAAAACATTTTTATCAATCTAACTTATTTCTTAAATGTTACTTATGGAACAAATAAATTCACATATGCATACTTTCTTAAATATTCTGCTGATTTAACAGTTGTATTATCAATGCAACAGTTTTTACTGTCAGATAATGTACAGACTTAATAAATACAATATCTTACATGGGTTGTCATTTTTTTGTTTTTGTTTTGGGTTTTATGTCACATCGACACAGTATAGGTCATATCGCGACGTTCCAGCTTTACTGGTGGAGGAAGACCTCAGGTGCCCTTCTGTGCATTATTTCAGGCACGAATAGGCACCTGAGTAGAACCACTGACGTTCAAGCTACAATGTAGCTGGATAGGGTTGTCATTTCATGTTATACTTATTGTATTAATGCAATTCTGTGGTGATGTTTTAAACAAGACAATATAAAATGGTATCAAATGTAAGATCGCAATAGTCCAAAATGAGCAATGACCCTTAGTCGACTCACAGTCTCTGGGGCATGTATCCAAAATTCCATTTATTATCTCAAACATGCCAGATATTCTCTTTCAAATACCTTGATTCAAAATGCTTTTGCACCTCACATCCAGGCTAGCCTACAGAAGATTGGTGGTTCTACTCAGGTGCTCCTTATTGCATTATTTCAGGCACAAGTCCTTTTTCAGCAGTCAAGCTTGAAGGACACTATATGGCCAATAATATTGACAGTGTGACTTAAAAACCCTCTTTCCCGTTTTATTTAAAAAATTGTATTGCCCACTGAAGAAATAGGAAGAGCATCAAAACACAAGGCTATCTGATTTTGTATGAGTCGGCCTAGCTCCCAAATATTATTCAGATTGCTTCATGTTTTGATGTTTTTTACGTTTGTATCATAGTTAAAAATAAAAACATGTTCCCTGTTATTACAATATGACACCCCAGAAAACAAGAGGGCCATGATGGCCCAAAGTCGCTCACCTGTATATAGGCCCACTTGGAGCGGGGCCAGTTTAAACCCCAGGGCTTTTATTTGAACAAATTTGGTTGACACCCATTAGAAGATGTTTCATGCTAAACATCTAAGGTCTAGCTTGTAAGGTTTTTTAAAAAATGATTTTTTATGTATGTATGTAAGTTATATATACATATATTGATATATATATATATGTATATATATATATAGATATATATATATATATACATATTATGTAGATATATATATATTTATATACATACATACATACATGCATGCATGCATGCATGCATGCATGCATGTATGTATGTATGTATGTATGTATGTATGTATATATATAAAGGTTTGTGAAAAATATTTGCATCTACAAAATACCTTTCAAAAACACTGGATCCCAAGAAGGATACAAGAACGTGGAAAAAATAACAATAAATTTGGAGAAAATAAACGTTCAATACAGTGCTAAAGTATAAAAAATACCAAAGTACTTTCGGCGTATTATGCCTTTATATATATATATATTAAATATATATATATATATACACATACATACATATATATATATAATATATAATGTATGTATGTATGTATGTATGTATATATATATACATATATATATATATAATTATATATATACATATATATACATATATATATATATATAAATATGTATATATATATATATATGTATGTATATATATAATATGTATATATCTAAAAAGTCGAGCTAATGAATGACCCCGGGCGGGGCCATTATTTGAACGAACTTGGTAGACATCCATTAGAACATGTTTCATGCTAAATATCTTAGCTCTAGCTCTTTGCATTCTTTAAAAGAAAATTGTTTAAGTTTTTACTATATGCATATAGGGAAAATCAATGACCCCCTGGGGCAGGGCCAATTTTGACCTCAGGGCTTTTGTTTGAACAAACTTGGTAGACACCCATTAGAAGATGTTTCATGCTTAATATCTTAGCTCTAGCTCTATGGGTTATTTAATAGAAGATTTTTAAAGTTTTTACTATATACATATAGGGAAAATCAATGACCCCCAGGGCGAGGCCGATTTTAATTCTTGGAACAAAATTTGAACAACTTTGGTTTTGGACCTATAGATGATACCATAGACCAAATATCAAAGCTCTAGGCCATTTACTTTCAGACCAGGAAAGGATTTTTTCAAGTTTTCACTATATGTATATAATGAAAATCAATGACCCCCGAGGGCGGGCCAATTTTGACCCGAGGGCCATTATTTGAACAATCTTTGTAGAGGTCTACCACAACAATGTTTCATGCCAAATAAAATCTTACCTGTAGCCTTTGCCAATTTCAGAGAAGAAGATTTTTTTATGTTTTTTAACTATATACATATTAGAAAAACCTATGACCCCCTGGGGGCGGGGCCAATTTTGACACTAGGGACAAAATTTGAACAACTTTGGTAGAGGACCCATAGATGATACCATATACCAAAAATCAAAGCTCTAGGCCATTTACTTTCAGACCAGAAGATGTTTCAAGTTTTCACTATATGTATGTAATGAAAATCAATGACCCCCCGGGGCGGGGCCAATTTTGACCCTAGGGCCATTATTTGAAACAATCTTGATAGAGGTCTACTTGCACAATGTTTTTTTCATGCCAAATATCTAATCTGTAGCCTTTGCCCCAAATCAGAGAAGAAGATTTTTTTAGATTTTTACTATATACAATATAAGGAAAAACCTATGACCCCCCCCCCCCCCCCCCCCCCCCGGGCGGGGCCCATTTTTGACACTAGGGACAAAATTTAAACAACTTTGGTAGAGGACCCATAGATGATACCCATACTACCAAAAAATCAAAGCTCTGGCCCATGACTTTCAAACAAAGAAGATTTTTTAATTTTGTGTTTTTTGAAATCCTTTTCTGCCCTATGACCATCTATGACCTAACATATGCAACAGACCGGTAACCATTTGAACAACTTTGAAAAGGGGACCACCCAAGGATCATTTCTGTAAATTTATGCGGTTGCAATTGGCCATGTGGTTTAGGAGGAGATGTTGTTTGAAAAGTTTGACACCATTTTTTGAAGGACGCACGACGCACAGACGCACAACGGACGCAGAGTGATGACAAAAGCTCACCCTTGAGCACTTTGTGCTCAGGTGAGCTAAAAACAAGAGCTGTCACAGGAGACAGCCAAGCTCGACTAATAAAATACTGGACGCAGGAAGGAGGACAAAACTATGAAAGAGAAATCAATTATGTATAATTTATGTATTAAGTTATAGTAAAAAAATAACATTTGTTTACGCATAAATTCCAAGATCAAGGGAAATAATTTTCTAGAAACTAGTCACGCTAGAGTTATGAACCCTTGTCACACAATCAACATGTTTTGTAATGATAAGAAATATATATTTGAAGTTTGAAGTAAAAGTAAAGAAGTTTATAATAAATTTCTTAAAGAAAATCCTAAAGTTCAAAGAGAGATAAATCTGTAAAAAATTTGCTTTCAAGAGTTACATAAAATGTAATTGATGATAAGGAATAAGTATTTGAAGTTTGAGGTAGATACCTTTAAAACTAAAAAAGTTATAGTAAAAAATAACATTTTTCTAGTAAAAAAATCTAAGTTTATGGGGAGATTTTTCTTGAAATATTGGTGCTAGAGTTATGAACCTTGTCACATAAGATGTGGATGATGATAAGGTACATATATTTGAAGTATGAGGTTGATCCCTTTAGAAATAAATAAGTTATAGTAAAAAATAATATTTTTTAAGGAAAATTCTAAGTTTAAGGGGAGATAAATCTGAAAATGTTGGTGCTAAAGTTATGAACCTTGTCACATAAGATGGGGATGATGATAAGGTGCATATATTTGAAGTATGAGGTTGATCCCTTAAGAAATAAAGAAGTAACAGTAAAAAATAGTATTTTTAAGGAAAATTCTAAGTTCAAGGGGAGATAAATCTGAAAATATTGGTGCTAGAGTTATGAACCTTGTCACATAAGATGTGGTTGATGATAAGGAACATATATTTGAAGTTTGAAGTTGATACCTTAAGAAATGACAAAGAAATAGTTAACTAGAACTATAGCTGAATGATATTCATACCCCCACCAATGCCCTTGACAGAAGACAACTTGGAAAGGTGGTTAAGGGAATATTTTAAGAGGCACAAATACATAAAAAGAAATTATCTCTGGTGAAAAAAAAGACTAATTGTCCAGGTTATAGTATAAATAAATATTATCAAATCATGTTCATGCAAACAGTTACAAACAAACTTTCATTTTCCCAATGTACTTAACATTTTATAAGTCAATTTTTGACCTTCAAGTGTGGCCTTGACCTTAAGCTGGCACAAGGGTAAGATGGATTCTGCATATCGCCCAGTTTAGGTGAACATTTGAGTAAAGTTTGAAGAAAATCCTTCCATTAGTAAAGAATTTATAGAGCGGACACAACATATTGTCTAGTATTGATTGTATGTAAATTTAAAGACTTAAAAGAGGGCATAACTTTGTCAAAATGCAATACAGAGTTACGAAACTTACCTGCATATCTTATTTGTGACACCTCAGATATCTTTTAAGTTTCAAGCAAATACCTGTCCTAGTTTCAGAAATATTCAAGTACATGTTAAAATTTAAGAATATTTTTGACCTTCAAGTTTGACCTTGAATTTAAGCCGGCAAAAGGGTGACATGGGTTCTGCATGTGAACATTTGAGCCAAGATTGAAGATAATCTTTCAATTGGTGTAGGACTTACAGAGCGGACACGACATACTGTGTAATATTTGATCGTTTGATATTTGACCTTCAATTGTGACCCTGACCTTGAGCTGACACATGGGCACCATGGGTTCTGCACATCCCTTTGTTGAGGTGAACATTTGAGCCAAGTTTGAAGAAAATCCTTCTATTAGTGTAGGACTTACAGAGCGGACACGACATACTGTGTTATATTTGATTGTTTGATATTTGACCTTCAATTGTGACCTTGACCTTGAGCTGACACATGGGCAACATGGGTTCTGCACATCCCCTTGTTGAGGTGAACATTTCCGCCAAGTTTGAAGAAAATCTTTCAATAAGTGTAGGACTTACAGAGCGGACACGACATGCTGTCTAATATTTGATTGTGTTTGATATTTGACCTTTAATTGTGACCTTGACCTTGAGCTGACATTTGGGCAACATGGGTTCTGCACATCCCCTTGTTGAGGTGAACATTTGAGCCAAGTTTGAAGAAAATCCTTCAATTGGTATAGGAGTTATAGAGTGGACACGAAAATGGAGACGGACGGACAGACCGACGCAACAAAGGGAATCCATTATAGCCCCCCCCCCCCACATTTTGTGGTGGGGGTATAAAAATTTACTGCACCAAAACTTTTATCTGAAATCTGGACGCGGACGCCGATGCCGGGCGAGTAGGACAGCTCTCCATATACTTCGTATAGTCGAGCTAATAACCAATGAACGAGCATCTGAATATGATATTTCTATTGCTTTCCATTTCTCTGTGGTCACAATACCTAAACCCCAGAAAAAAATGAGCCAAGCGATGGGCATGCACTGGAGTGCGGATAACTAATACCTACACTCCAGTTAACGGACTGTACATGTATATGTATACGATTTAACTCCGACACGTTTTCAACTAAAAGGTCTCCAAACTATGATACAAGTGAGTAATATAACACTGCTAACTAAAGGCTTACCAGATCTCTGTCATCATTGTATGTTGTTAATGAACACATCATCTCCTGACCGCTCAATAAATCCTTTTCGTCAATATCTCTGCAAAAAGGAATGCCAACATTCATTTAACATGAAAACATCACAAAAGATTCAAAGGGTCTATTTCAACATTCTGCACAAATCAGACTACAAATGTTAAATTGAAAATACACACTATATAAAATTATGTGTTCGCCCATAATACAGATGTCCCTGTTCCAAAATTGTTCAATTTAAATGTGGCAAAATTTCCTAGATTTGTCATGTTCTAATATTTTGTCTCACAAGTATGTTGTATCAAATTTTATGTTTTTAGGGTTTTGGACATCAGCCAAGCTCCTTTAAAAAATGGAGCTATTAAAGAAATTCATGTTTATGCAAATATTAAAGCTTCTATTTTTAAGTAGGATTTTAATCATTTAGCAATGTTTTAGTGCATGCAAATTTCATTCATAAAGAAGCATACACTTTTCTTTCATACATGTACTTTTTAATAATTCCTTTTATTAAAATTCAAACTATGATTTTGCAAACTTCTGACAGCAGATATATGACTTTATAAACTTAAATCATGAATTTTTCTAAGGAACTCTTGCTGTTAAAGTATTATTCAATAATTACATAATGTACGTTTAATTTTAAGCTTCATGTTTATGGGTGTCAGTATCTTACAATCAGGAATCAATTTCATGTGTGAAGTTTAAAGTAAAAGTAAATGAGAAATAAAGTTGCATGCAAGAACCTTTTCAAGTGCTCCAAAAAAAAAACAAGGAACATCGCAATGCGATGCAACCAGGTTTTCAGCAAAATATTTCACAGAAGCTTTGTCATGAAGGGGCATTTGTTTTTAATTGAACTTTTAAGCCACTTCTTTTTTTTTTCTTGGTTTACAAATTTTTTTTTCAAAAATGTCCACTGGGTGGTCGAAAAAAAAAAAAAAAAAAAAAAACCTCAAAAAGGTCCATCGGGTATATAAAATACAATTTAACAATATACTAGCAAATATATCGTAAATCAAACCATTAAATCTTCTCGAGGAAGGATACGGCTTATAGCCGTGCCGATGTCCTCATCAACGGCAGCCTTTAAAAAAGCCCGTCTGGTTGGCAAATCTTTAATTCCAACAAAATCAACTTGGAAATAAACAGTGCCGCTCAAGGGCGCCGCCATTGTTGTTTTTACCATGAACTGTGGTAGTTATCCGAGGTAGTCCGAATGTTGTGTTGTATAGATTCGTACTCAAAAATATTTGAATTTTCGTACTCATATTTATCGCGCTTATCGGATGATTTTTTTGCATCGGGGGAAAAAAAAGTGGAAATTTCAGTTTTATTTTTTTTCCAATTTACAAATATTTCGGGTCGCCGGTTTTGTAAACCAAGAAATATAAAAGAAGTGGCCTTAGGAGGAATTATGGCTTTTTTAATATTCCTCAAACAAAAATGATTGAGAAATTTTTATGTTGTCTATTCGCCTTTTTTTCCCAAATGTTTTAGAAAGGTAAACAGTACTTTATTTTTGCTTAATTTTTGCATTTTTGCGTCTCTTGTCATTTTCTTTTGTCAACAATATTGGCGTGTGGTGTTTTGTGCGATATCAAGAAAAGTATGTTCACAATTTTAAAAAAATACTTGAATGATGTCTTGGAAGAAACATGGGAATTAAGTGAGCGCCAGGGCACTTGATGACAAAGCTTCTGTGAAAGTTTGGTCAAAATCCATTGAGAAATGTAGGAGAAGTTGAGCACTGTAGAAATTGTTCACTATATATTCTGTATAAGGAAAAAATTTACAAAGGGCCATAATTCGGTCAAATATTATCCAATCACAAAACCCCGACAATATGTGTCAGGTACTTGAAAACAAAGCTTCTAAGAAAGTTTGGTCAAAATCCGTTGAGAAATGTAGGAGGAGTTGAGCACAATAGAAATTGTTCACTATATATTCTATATAAGGAAAAAAAACAAAGGGCCATAATTAGGTCAAATATATACCAATCGCAAAACCCTGGCAATATGTGTCAGGGCACTTGATGACAAAGCTTCTGAGAAAGTTTGGTCAAAATCCGTTGAGAAATGTAGGAGGAGTTGCGCACAGAAGAAATTGTTCACTATATATTTTATATAAGGAAAAAAAGCAAAGGGCCATAATTAGGTCAAATATTATCTAATCGCAAAACCCTGGCAATATGCGCCAGGGCACTTGATGACAAAGCTTCTGTGAAAGTTTGGTCAAAATCCGTTGAGAAATGTAGGAGGAGTTGCGCACAGAAGAAATTGTTCACTACATTGTATATATTCTATATAAGGAAAAAAAACAAAGGGCCATAATTAGGTCAAATATATACCAATCGCAAAACCCTGGCAATATGTGTCAGGGCACTTGATGACAAAGCTTCTGAGAAAGTTTGGTCAAAATCCGTTGAGAAATGTAGGAGGAGTTGCGCACAGAAGAAATTGTTCACTATATATTTTATATAAGGAAAAAAAACAAAGGGCCATAATTAGGTCAAATATATACCAATCGCAAAACCCTGACAATATGCGCCAGGGCACTTGATGACAAAGCTTCTGTGAAAGTTTGGTCAAAATCCGTTGAGAAATGTAGGAGGAGTTGCGCACAGAAGAAATTGTTTACGTCCGCCCGCCCGCCCGTCCGCCCGTCCGCCGACATACCTCAATCTAATAACCAGTTTTTTCCTTCGGAAAACCTGGTTAAAAACCAAAAAATAGAGCTCCCACAAAAGTGACAAATACCCCCACCTGATCTCTATGACAAAAAATCTTATGTAGTGCAATTTATCATTATTTTTTAAAGAAAACATTTGAGTTAAGTTTTAAAAAGTCAAATGAAAGTATAGAATTTATGGTGCAGTCATAAAAATGTTCGAATTTTGACTTTCAAGGGTGACCTTGATCTCAAGCCGAAGTCAGCATGAATTCTGCACATTACTTTGTTGAACAGAACATTTGAGCCAAGAAAATTCTTGCTGGTAAAGAATTTAGAGAGCAGACATGAAATTGTCTGACATTTTACCTTCAAGGGTGACCTTGATCCAGCTGTGCAGAGACAAGGATTATGCAGATCACTTTGTTCAGGTGAATATCTGAGTAAAGTTTGAAGGCAATTGTTCAAGGAGTTCAGGATTTATACAGCAGACATGAAATTGTCTGATATTTGACCTTTGACCTAAAAGTTGAACCATGACAGGTTCTGCTTAGCAGTGGCAAGGGTTCTGCACAAAGCCTTATTTGAGCTAAGTTTGAAAAAAAATCTTCAAAAGGTATATTTATAAAAGGATTTATAGAGCAGACAAGAAATTATCCAATATTTGACCTTCAATGTGACCATGACCAGGTAAGTTGTGACATGGGTTTTGCACACATGAGGTGAACACAATGTCATCTGAATCACGTTTGAAGAAAAATTCAAATCCTTCAAGGGGTATTGGATTTGTATAGTGGACACAATGGAGATTGACTGTCTGAGGCAACAAAGTGATTCCAGTATATCCTCCTTCCAAATTAACGCTCTAATAAGCGTGAAGGGCAGACTTATATATGTATTCTTTGTTAAAAACAAATGCTATAAAGTTGAGTAAAAGAAGTTAGATAATGCACATGTGTACTGGATGATAAACTGGAAATAAATGCTTAAATATCTTAATACATAGTAAATAGGTAAACATTTTAAGATAGATATACTGTACATTGTATATTATCAAACATAAACAATTTTTATAACTGGTGCCTATAAACCAATTCAAAATATAAAGTAGTGCTTTAAGTAGTGATTTAAACAAGAGGGCCATGATGGCCAAAAGGTCGCTCACCTGTATATAGCCCCCCCCTCCCCCGGGCCAATTTTTACCCAAGGGCTTTTATTTGAACAGACTTGGTAGACACCCATAAGAAGATGTTTCATGCTAAACATCTAAGTTCTAGCTCAATGGGTTTTTTAAAAGAAGATTTTTTAAGTTTTTACTATACACATATAGTTAAAAACAATGACACCCCTGGGGCAGGGCCAGTTTTGACCCCCGGGCTTTTATTTGAACAAACTTTGTAGATATTTACTTTAAGATGTTTCATGCTTAATATCTAAACTCTAGCTATTTGGGTTTTTTCAAAGAAGATTTTTAAGTTTTTGCTATACACATATAAGGAAAATCAATGACCCCCGGGGCGGGGCCAATTTTGACCCCAGGGCTTTTATTTGAACAAACTTGGTAGACACTCACTAGAAGATGTTTCATGCCAAATATCTTAGCTCTAGCTCTTACAGTTCTTTAAAAGAAGATTTTTTAAGTTTTTACTATATGCATATAGGGAAAATCAATGACCCCCTGGGGCGGGGCCAATTTTGATCCCAGGGCTTTTATTTGAACAAACTTGGTAGACACTCATAAGAAGATGTTTCATGTTAAATATCTTAGCTCTAGCTCTTTGGGTTCTTTAAAAGAAGATTTTTTAAGTTTTTACTATATGCATATAGGGAAGATCAATGACCCCATGGGGCGGGGACAATTTTGACCCCAGGGCTTTTATTTGAACAAACTTGGTAGACATTCACTAGAAGATGCTTTATGCCAAATATCTAAGCTCTAGCTCTTACAGTTCTTTACAAGAAGATTTTTTAACTTTTTACTATATGCATATAGGGAAAATCAATGACCCCCCAGGGCAGGGCCAATTTTGACCCCAGGGCTTTTATTTGAACAAACTTGGTAGAAACTCACTAGAAGATGTTTCATGCCAAATATCTTAGCTCTAGCTCTTTGGGTTCTTTAAAAGAAGATTTTTTAAGTTTTTACTATATGCATATATGGAAAATCTATGACCCCCTGGGGCAGGGCCAATTTTGACCCCAGGGCTTTTATTTGAACAAACTTGGTAGACACTCACTAGAAGATGTTTCATGCCAAATATCTTAGCTCTAGCTCTTTGGGTTCTTTAGAAGAAGATTTTTTAAGTTTTTACTATATGCATATAGGGAAAATCTATGACCCCCTGGGGCAGGGCCAATTTTGACCTCAGGGCTTTTATTTGAACAAACTTGGTAGACACTCATTAGAAGATGTTTCATGCTAAATATCTTAGCTCTAGCTCTTTGGGTTCTTTAAAAGAAGATTTTTTAAGTTTTTACTATATGCATATAGGGAAAATCAATGACCCCCTGGGGCGGGGCCAATTTTGACCCCAGGGCTTTTATTTGAACAAAATTGGTAGACATTCACTAGAAGATGTTTCATGCCAAATATCTAAGCTCTAGCTCTTACAGTTCTTTAAAAGAAGATTTTTAAGTTTTTACTATATGCATATAGGGAAAATCAATGACCCCCCGGGGCGGGGCCAATTTTGACCCCAGGGCTTTTATTTGAACAAACTTGGTAGACACTCACTAGAAGATGTTTCATGCCAAATATCTTAGCTCTAGCTCTTTGGGTTCTTTAAAAGAAGATTTTTTAAGTTTTTACTATATGCATATATGGAAAATCTATGACCCCCTGGGGCAGGGCCAATTTTGACCCCAGGGCTTTTATTTGAACAAACTTGGTAGACACTCACTAGAAGATGTTTCATGCCAAATATCTTAGCTCTAGCTCTTTGGGTTCTTTAAAAGAAGATTTTTTAAGTTTTTACTATATGCATATAGGGAAAATCAATGACCCCCTGGGGCGGGGCCAATTTTGACCCCAGGGCTTTTATTTGAACAAACTTGGTAGACACTCATTAGAAGATGTTTCATGCCAAATATCTAAGCTCTAGCTCTTAGGGTTGTTTAAAAGAAGATATTTAAAGATTTTTCTTTCGGTTGCCATGGCAACCAGAGTTCTGCATGGAATTAAATTCTTTGAACAATTTTTAAAGGTGACCTCCAAAGGAACATTCCTGTGAAGTTTGGATGAAATTGGCTCAGTGGTTTATGAGGAGATGTCATTTAAAGCAAAAGTTTACGGACGAACGACGGACGGACGTACGCCGGACGAAAAGCGATCACAAAAGCTCACCCTGTCACTTTGTGACAGGTGAGCTAAAAATCCCTAGTTACCTTCAAAATATGCTTGCCAAGAAATAAAAGTATATAATTAATATCACTGAATTACTTCTTTTAACACAATGTTAAAAATGAGTATATACCCTCATAATTCATACTTAATACATGTATTAACGGGGCGTCCGTGGCCGAGTGGTTCAGGTCGTTGACTTCAAACCACTTGCCCCTCACCGCTGTGGGTTCGAATCCCGACAGGGACTTTGGTTTCTTTCATGTGAGGAAGCTATCCAGCTAGCTTACGGAACGTCGGTGGTTCTACTCAGGTGCCCGTTCGTGCCTGAAATAATGCACGGAAGGGCACCTGAGGTCTTCCTCCACCAGTAAAGCTGGAACGTCGCGATATGACCTATACTGTGTCGATGTGACGTAAAACCCAAAAAAAAAAAAAAAAAAATACATGTAATTGAAGAGACAGTATGCCCATCCTAGAGTATAAAGTGAGTAAACACATGAAAGTAAAACTATATCAACATTTTACCACAATTCCTTTCACTTTTATAATCTACCTGGCATGTATGATAAATCACTAACACAACTCAAGGAAAATTCTGTAAATATCCATTGGAATTTACAAGCAACATTCACTTTATAACAAGAACGTGTTTGGTAAACACCCAGCCATAATTCTTGTCAGTAACAAATTTTCAAAAAGGGTTTACCAATTTATTCAGTTATGGAAAGATGAATTTCCAAGAAAAAAATAAAAACACAGTTATATATAAACTTGACAGAGTCATATGTTATTGTTGGCATTTCATTTCTATTTGATGATGGAGACAGATTCAAACAAGGCAGTCTGAAGGACAGCTAAATCCCCTTCCGCAGTGAACATGAATGTGTAATTCTTGACCTGCCAACCATGACCTTGATGTTGTGCCATGCATATCATAAGCACATAGTCTCAAGATGGTGATTATTTGTGCCAAGTTATGGAAGTCACTTAGTGTGACCTTGACCTTATGGGTATTGCACTCTGCATATTGTCTCATAATGGTGATCACTTGTGCCAAGTTATTAAAAAAACTTTTCAGTGGTTTAAAAATTATGAAGCGGAAACAAAATGTAGACTTTTAACACTTGACCTTTAAGTTTGACCTTGACCTTGGGGGTAGCAACCCAATTATTGCGCCCTGCATGTTGTTTCATAATGGTGAACATTTTTGTCTAGTTAATCAAAAATTTTTCAGTGGTTTAAAAGTTATTAATTTGGAGACATGAAATGTAGACCTTTTAACACTTGACCTTTAAGTGTGACCTTGACCTTGGGTAGCAACCCAATTATTGCGCTTTGCACATTGTCTCATAATGGTGATCACTTGTGCCAAGCTATTTAAAAAAATTCAAAGGTTTAAAGTTATGGAATGTAGACCTTTAAGTGTGACCTTGACCTTGGGAGTAGCAACCCAATTATTAAGCTCTGCACATGTTCTTATAATGGTGATCAATTGTGCCAATTTATTTTTCAAAAAGTTGCGGAGTGGACACGAAATGTACACTTTTAACATTTGACCTTAAAGTGAGACCTTGACCTTTTGGGTAGCAACCCAATTATTGCGCTCTGCATGTCATCTCAAAATGGCAATCAGCTGTGCCAAGTTTTTTTTTTCAATTTTTTTTCAGTGGTTAAAAAGCTATGGAGTGGACACGAAATGTAGACTTCTTATTATGAGATGAAGACAGTTTAACATTTTACCTTTAAGTATGACCTTGACCCTTGGGGTAGCAATCCAATTTTTGCACTCTGCAAATCGTCTCATTATGGTGATCATTAGTGCCAAGTTATTAAAAAAAATTTCAGTGGTTTAAAAGTTATGGAGCGGACACGAAATGTAGACTTTTTATTATAAAATGAAGACTGTTTAACATTTGACCTTTAAGTGTGACCTTGACCTTGGGGGTAGCAACACAATTATTGCGCTCTGCACATCGTCTCATTATGTTTATCATTTGTGCCAAGCTATTTAAAAAAAAATTTTCAGTGGTTTAAAAGTTATGGAGCGGATACACGAAAGTGTTAGGACGTTCCAACATTTTGGGTTTAGAGGGCTATTTTCTTTGTTATTTTCTTTGTTTTCTTAAGGGCTACTAGCCCATAAGCCCATAAACCCTTTGATCACGGAATGAACCTATTGTTCTCTTTTGTTCTCTTTACTGTTATATAGCCCCTAAACCCAAAATGTTTGCTCGGACAGACAGACGGACGGACGTTCCAACATTTTGGGTTTAGGGGCTATTTTCTTTGTTATTTTCTTTGTTTTCTTAAGGGCTACTAGCCCCTAAACCCTTTGATCACGGAATGAACCTATTGTTCTCTTTTGTTCTCTATACTGTTATATAGCCCCTAAACCCAAAATGTTTGTTCAGACAGACTGACAGATGGACTGACAGATGGAGGCCATTCCTATAATCCCCTTTCCACTACGCAGAAGGGGATTAATAAATACATGTGTTCCTCATTACACAAAGATGACACCCTTTCTTTTTGTTTACATCAAAAGTTACTTGGAAGCACTACTTTCAACCTGGCGGTGATTTTCAATAATTGGCAAGGTGTTTTAATTTAACAATTATACTATTATGTACAAATATCATACCAATATAATAGACAATGTTTCTGTACCTTTTTGATATGATTTCATCTGCACCCTCTCCCTCAGGTATTTCCATGCATGCAATGGCAGTGATCACAGCCTGAAGTTTGGCATATTCAAACCGCACTATCATGAAAGCTAAAACGTAATGGCTCAATGCAGCATGCACACAAAAATCTTGTGCAAACAAGAGCATGCTTTCATCCTGGAAATCAAGAAACGAAAGCTGAAAAATTTGATCACATGGCATATTTTAGGGATCTGTACTGCAGTACTTATTACCTGATGTTACTACGCAATTAACAAAGTAGATCGCCATGTATTATTGGACCTCTAAAAATATACAGTGCTCTGATCAGTGAATGTATATATTTTATATTCTAAAAACAAGATGAAGTTTATAGACAATGAAAAGCTGACCAACTTTATTTCAATCACATGACAATCTAAGTTTTTCAAAATGTTATCACATAAAAACAAAGTATTTATCTCAATTATTAATAAACTGCAACAAAACAACAGGCTTGGAGAGAAATAGTTGTAAATCATGTGACATAAATAAGACCTATCAACATTGCACTTCACTTTTCTCAAAGATGGAAAGTTGAATAAAAACAACATAGAAAAAAAGATCATTAATCTGAGATAGCTGTCACGATTTTAGATTTTGGAGGATAGTGTAAGATTCAGAAACATGCCCAAATTTCAAAAGCTTCTCCTAGTTCTTTAGCCTGTCAAGTGTATAAGCACTCATAAATGAGACATTGATTTTAATTTGATTAGTAATTTATCTCTGAGGTCTCCACTTTCTCCTTTTATAATACTGTTGGTTTGTAACATCACATTTCATTGGATAATCATGACATTGATATTGTATAAATCTATATACATGTATACACATCTAACAGCAGTTGATTCACATGTATGACATATTTTTTTCTCTTATAAAGGAATTTGGTAGTAATATGAATTTGTAACAAGAGCCATGTCAACATGGCCATCCCCCGCCAAATGTGTTTGCTCATTGGAAGAATGTATATGTAGTAGAGCAGAATAATTCCATTTTAAGAGGTCTTTTGGTAATGAAAACTGATGGCTATAGTGATTACAGATTTGAAACCTATGTGAATACATCGGCTGAAAATAACAAAAAAATAATGCAGGGTAGGTTATCATTCTTGTGTGCTGCATCCCTCCTCAGTAAAATCTATCCACCAATGAAGTTTCAAGTTGATACCTCAAATACTTTTTGAGAAAAAAATTGAATTGAAAAATTAAGTATGAAAAATAACAAAGGGCAATAACTCAAAAATTATAAAAGGTAGAGTTATCATTCTTGTGCACTGCACACCTCCTGAGTTAGATCTATGCACCACAGTTTCAAGTTGATACCTCAAATACTTTTTGAGATAAGCTCCGGACAAAATAGTATGAAAAAGAACAAAGGGCAATAACTCAAAAATTGTACAGGGAACAGTTATCATTCTTGTGCACAGCATTCCTCCTCAATAAAATCTATCCACCTATGAAATTTCATGTTGACATCTCAAACACTTTTGAGTTATGCTCCAATAGGGTGAAAAATTAAATATGAAAAATAACAAAGGGCAATAACTCAAAAATTATGAAAGGTAGAGTTATCATTCTTGTGCACTTCACACCTCCTGAGTGAGATCTATGCACCTATGAAGTTTCATTTTGATATCTCAAAGGCCTTTTGAGTTATGCTCTTGACAAAAATTAATTTTGAAAAATAACAAAGGGCAATAACTCAAAAATTATGCAGGGTAGAGTTATCATTCTTGTGCACTGCACTCTTCCTCAATGAGATCCATCCACCTATGAAGTTTCAAGTTGATACCTCAAATACTTTTTGAGATAAGCTCTGGACAAAATAGCGTGAAAAAGAACAAAGGGATATAACTCAAAAAATTGGTTAGGGAAGAGTTATCATTCTTGCGCACACATTCCTCCTCAATAAGATCTATCCACCTATGAAATTTCATGTTGACATCTCAAACACTTTTTTAGTTATGCTCCACTCGGGTGAAAAATTAAGTATGAAAAATAACAAAGGGCAATAACTCAAAAATTATGAAAGGTAGAGTTATCATTCTTGTGCACTGCACACCTCCTGAGTGAGATCTATGCACCTATGAAGTTTCATGTTGATATCTCAAAGGCCTTTTGAGTTATGCTCTGGACAAAAATCAATTTTGAAAAATAACAAAGGGCAATAACTCAAAAATTATGCAGGGTAGAGTTATCATTCTTGTGCACTGCACTCCTACTCAATGAGGTCTATCTACCTATGAAGTTTCAAGTTGATAACTCAAATACTTTTAGAGATAAGCTCCGGACAAAAATGTAGGACGGAAGGACGGAAAGTCAGACAGACGGAGACTATTTCTATATCCCCCGCCGCCTTTTCGGCGGGGGATAATAACCTATTAAAAATCGTAAAAACTAATAATATACATGTTAGTTGGAGGGAGAACTGACAACTTTCTAAAATTTAGACTTAGTAAGTTCAAGCCTCAATATACCTCTGACTTTCTCTGTATGCTCAGACTTCCCGGCTTTCCAAAACCATCATCCACATTGAGATTCCCCAAAGTAGCAGACCTATATAAAGATAACATCACTTTATTAAATTTCATTTTAAACAATAAACAAACATGTCATATTAATGGAACAGTTAGAACATGAAAAGAAGACATGTATATACATTATATATAAATAAAAAGTTCTAGTACAATAACTTTCATAACATTCTTACATGTAACAAATATGGCCAGGGATTGAACTTCTGACCTTCTTGGCAAGATGTGAATGTTTGGTATCACCTTTGCCACTCGGCCACTGAACCCCCCTTCAGTAAGCTAATATCATACTAACAGCTTCCTACATGTACATGTAATATGAAGAGATACAAGTAAAGTACTTATGAAGTGAATGCAAACAAGTTCATAAATTTTTTTCAAAATAAATAACTCTTCTCTTACGTCATGTTAGTACCAGTCAGAAAGCTATAATCCATTAACTTTAAAATTCCAAACTGCTATCTTTGCAAAATCTGAAAATATACAAGACCATAAATTATAAATATATGTAGTGAACATTTGCTAAACTTGATATCTTCAAACAGTCAGAACAAGAGTAAAATGATACCCCTGTATTGCTCACAATTACAATGCTGCTGATGCTTTTCATAATTATGATTTGTTGTTTTATTTGTATGAAAGATGAACAGGGAATTATTAAATCATTTTTTTGTTAATTATGCACATCAATCGAATAAATAATCATAACGGCAAATGAAACTTTTTCATAACGACATGATCTGAGTGGAATAAATAAATAAAAAGAACATTGAAAAAATGTTGAAAAGCAAAAACAATTTTTTTTTTAAATACAGTAGAAGTATAAAAAGCACAATCAATTACCTTAATTAAAGCCTATCCAGGGACTGATGATAGAATTTTAGAATGCGTTAACGGCTTCACGGAACATGCAAACTTTCCCTAATGATAGTCGGTAATTGACGCAATTATCAGAGCCCAACAACAATTATTTTCGGTGTTTTTGTTTTTCATTTAATAAGGTGTAGAAAATTAAACTTATTGAAAAAGGTTTATTATCACAATTTTGTATTTAACTATTTCAATTGATGTTTTTCAACTGCAACCAATTTTTAAACGCCCTTCTCTCTCGCCATCTGGAGATGACAAAGATTGATATTCATACTTTTAAAATTCTTTACTGTAATTAATGTAGCCAACATGGCGACGGATTAATCTCTTAAAAAGTAAACATACTAAGACAATTGCTGTTTTTGGTTAAAATCCTCGGTTTAAAGTCATAAAATAACATATGCATTCCATATAATTTTACGTATGGCTAGAAATTTTGACTAGCCGTACGGGCCACTTCCTTATTTTTATGCAACATTTTCTTTTCCATTCATCTATTATTTTTCAATGGCTGAATGAATTATAGGAAAGAGGCTAATAAATTAGTGGCATGTATTTCTTGGTTGATAAAATAAATGGTTTGGCATGACCCGCAAAAAATTCAAGTGACCCCTATAACCTGATACAGGGGGTCAGAAATGATCCCCCAAAAATTGGAGCTGGAAGAAACACTCCAAATAATTTGGGAATTTGCCTTTATTGGCTTTCATTGGAAGATTTTTGTGACGTTTTGGCCCAAAGACATATCGACCCCAAATTACCCAAGACGTTTCGGCCCCAGATGCTTCTGCCCTTTACCAAATCGGCCGCAGAATAAGTACTGTGTTTTAAACCGGTATATTAAAATTTTATAGTTATAATTATCATAAATATCAATTTTCATGAAGTCAAACGCCAATTTCCAAGTACCTTGCAGGCCTCGACACTAACTTTTTTAGCAGGTGGTTAGCCGGACCACTAGATTTGAAATTAAGGTGGTCCTTCCAGAAGTCAGGTGGTCAATTTTTATTATGTCATTTTACTGCAAAATTAGAAAAAAATATGTTTAAAATTGATGACAAAGATGTATCATTAACCTTAAGAAAACAGATATTTTAGATATATATTTTTATCTAATCAGAAATAAAGGAGAGCAAGTTAGTAGGTATTTTATCATAAAGTTATTTGGTTTTTTATATGTCATTCAAAAATACACAACAGGGCTCTTATTTATGTTAACTTTTATATTGAAGTGATTTCTCTCTCAACTCAAGTTAGGGAATAGTGAAACAATTTGTGTCTGTAATTTTCTTATTCAATTTGTTATTCATATATTCATTGCTGATATGTGGTACGACTTTAATTATGATAATTACATGTATCTTTTATAGATTAACATTTTTAATAAAACTAATAAATTATCTTAAAACAAGGAAATAAATAGAGGATAAAAAAATAATACTAATGTTATATACAACTATAGTTTAGCTTATTTTTCTCACAAATATATAATACCGAATCTTTACCTCCCTGTTGCTTGTTGGTTGATATTTATTTTTAACATGAGTATTTTTAACCTTTTAAAGTAATTTTAACTCTGAAGGAAATGGATCTCTATCGTTAAACAGTTAAAATAAAGATAAGTAGCAAAGAATTACTAGATGTATTTTTCCAGTTCCTTTTGTTTGCTGCCATTATTTAAGTATATGAAATTTCGAGTTTATCTTATATCCCATACAATATCATAATTACCATCGTCGGATGCCCACTGTTAATTAACATGTAATATAACATAAATGTTACTAGTTTCACCGTAGGCCCCCTAGGTATCCGACGATGCATAATTATTAGCATCATTTGAATGAATTTTGTACCTTAATTGATATCACAAAGTCTAAATTCTTTTAACTTGCATAAACCAAATTTTAGCGACTTAAAATGAAAGTTATAGATGACTTAAGAACTTCTTTAACTAATCAGATAATTAATGAACCATATACATGTACATCGGACAAATGATTTTAAAGAAAATATTTATAACATGTTTTTGACCAAATCACCATTTTCCCAAATGAGTCTGCACCAACCAGAAAATTCAAGTGGTCCAACGGACCAGCGGCTTGTAAAATTAGGTGGTCCTTGCCAAAATCAGGTGGTCTCGGACCAACGGACCACCGCTAATGTCGAGGCCTGCCTTGAAAGATTTACGATACCTCTTATATATTTTACGTAAGATTAAATCTTTACCAAAACCATCAACGATTAGATACTTGTTGCATTTAATGTTAACTTCAATGTTTATAAATATATAATCTCACAATAAATTACTACTCGTAATCATTTCCTTGATATTTAAAATCTTACACATTTAATTATCAGGTAAGGAAAGTTAGTTGTTCATGCACGTGAAAATTGAAACATTTGGTCATGTAATTTTACAATGAAAAGAAAACAGAAGCCAATATCTATAATTCTTTTGTCACTGTCAACATTGTTTGATAAAACTAATTAAAAAATATATAGCAGGTACATTATAAGCATTATTTTATAATTTTGTTTCAAACTTTCAATCACTTTTATAACATCTATAGCATCTATCATTATCCACGGATTTATATTACATAATTATAATAATGTAATATAAATCCGTGCATTATCTAATAACAATAATAATTAATTGTTGTTAATTAATTGTCTGTACTATATAGTAGGGCCGAATCGTCTCGCGGAAAAGGGCCGAAACGTCCAGGGGCCGATTTTTCCACTGGGGCTGATTTGGTTGGGAGCCGAAACGTCCTGTTTGCTCGCGAGTCATGACACCTCGAGTCTGAGACCGTTCACACTGAAATCTGACACTTTCTTTTTATCTACATTATGCAATTAAATGACAATATAGTTTTACATACATGGTTGCAGTGCAGTCTGCAAATTATGACGTCATACGATTTATCACCAATTCTTAGGTCAAAACAAAAATGGCGTCAAAATAGATGAGCGTCAAAACACATGACCTGACGAGATATATAAAAAGAAAAAAATAAAGGTGTAAACTTTTCGTAAAGGTACAGTACATATGCCTAGTATATAATATAAGCCGTTTTGAAAAAAAATCTGTACAGTATTTTTAAATCCTGTTGACACTGCAAAATGACATAAAATGAGTAAGTAAGGATTGTAAATACCTTTAATATTTCAAACAATCATCCTTCCTACGCCATTCTGTCCAAGATCGTAATTTCTAATTACAAATACACGTTATGGAATTCCAGCGTGATACTAAAATAGACATGGGTATTTACGCATGTGTTTCTAAAAATAGCAAGGGACCTATTGGTATTCCACTTGAATGTATCTGGGGGCGTACTCGTTTTATCCGAACCGGAATTTAGTTATTTTCTTGATTTCTAAAATGACAATTTAAACGAGATCAAAAGCTGGCCAATCTCTTCAGATTTTCATCCTCTTGACAAATAAATATAAATGATATAATACAACAACAACAACAACAACAACTTTTATTAGCAAATATCGACAAAAACTTGCCTTTGGCTAATGAACAGAAAAAATGCTTCAAATATTGATCATATATACAAACATATAAATCAATTTTACATGAAACTATATTTATCAACAAATATACATATATATTCATAGTGATCAGAAAAAGTGTACATTTATAAGACATCATTTTTAACAGTAAATGCTTCTTTAAGATATTTACACATATTCAATACAGTTTTCTTTTTATTTGAACCCATATCATAGGGTTGAACAAATTAAGATTTGACCACGAAATATGTGGCATGCATTTGGTACGAATATTTGAATATTTTTGATAGGTCATAAGAAAGTGGTACTCTGACTCAATGACATTAATATTACAATTGCAATATCTACAAATTCTATTTATTCTATCAGTTCCTAGGCCTATATATCTCCCAGTTTCGATAGCTATAGCGAGTGCGCTGATAATCTGAAACATGTAAATAGTTTTCTCAAATAGTCATTTTTTAATAAAATCAAGATATTTTTCATAACCAAATTCTTTCTTAAAATTCACATAATAATCAAATTTAGACATACTACGAATAGAACCACTCCATTCTTGTTTAAACTGATCTCTTAATCTGCATTTTAAAGCTACATTAAATAAATATGTTAAAATATTTTTGCCGTCGGCCTAAAAACCAAGCATTCTACAGTTTCATTAACCTTTTTAACAGTATTGTTGTAAATCTAATCAAATATTGTTCATAAATTAGGATTTTAAATGGAAAACCCCACGGTAACACTAAAGTTCGTATACGAATTTTAACATGCAAATGAAGACTATATATAATCAATGGAAGGATATTACGTCATCACGCACCTGCTGAGACCATTTTTTCGTCGACTCGAAGGTAAAATACAATTTTATTATAAGAAAACGTAAGCGTATAAAAAAACTCATGTAGCGCACCAAAGAATGGCTATAGTACTTGAGATAATTGTAAAAAAAGTTTATAGATTCATTGCCTGGTTTATCCCTGAAAACAGGACAAGTGTTTTTCTCTGAATG